TGTTGCTCTTGCCTTTGCTTTTGCCTTTACCTTTGCTTTTGCTTTTGCTGTTGCTGTTGCTTTTGCATTGCTTTTGTTTTTGTTTTTCCCCACATTCTAAGTGGGGTTCTGATTTTCTCTACACCCGCGTCGCACCCGCGTTCACTCACCTCCCCTTCTCTACACCCGCGTCACACCTGCGTTCCCACCTCACCTCCTCCTTCTCGCTCGTACACACACCACACCACACCACGCCACATCGCACCACACCACACCACGCCACACCACACACCACCACACCACAGAGAATGCGCAGAGGGTGGTCCCTCAGCGCAGCCTCTATCCGTGACGCGCTCGCAGATCGTGGTAGGAGCGGCACTTTCTCGACACCAGAGGGGGTGCGCAGAGGGTGGTCCCTCAGCGGGGCCTCTATCCGTGACACGCTCGCAGGACGTGGCAGGCGCGGCACTTTCTCGACACCACTGGGGGGGCGCAAAGGGTGGTCCCTCAGCGGGGCCTCTATCCGTGACACGCTCGCAGGGCGTGGCAGGAACGGCACTTTCTCGACATCACATGGGAGTGCGCAGAGGGTGGTCCCTCAGCGGGGCCTCTATCCGTGACACGCTCGCAGGGCGTGGCAGGCGCGGCACTTTCTCGACGCCGCTGGGGGGGCGCAGAGGGTGGTCCCTCAGCGGGGCTCTATCCGTGACGCGCTCGCAGGGCGTGGCAGGAGCGGCACTTTCTCGACACCAGAGGGGGTGCGCAAAGGGTGGTCCCTCAGCGGGGCCTCTATCCGTGACACGCTCGCAAAGCGTGGCAGCGCGGCACTTTCTCGACACCATGGGGGGTCGCAGGTCCCTCCGCCTCTATCCGGGACACCGCTCCAGGGCGTGGCAGGCTCAGCATCTCTCGACATCACAGGGGGTGCGCAGGGTGGTCCTCAGCGGGGCCTCTATCCGTGACACGCTCGCAGGGCGTGGCAGGCGCGGCACTTTCTCGACGCCGCTGGGGGGGCGCAGAGGGTGGTCCCTCAGCAGGAACGGCACTTTCTCGACATCACATGGGGGTGCGCAGAAGGTGGTCCCTCAGCGGGGCCTCTATCCGTGAGACGCTCGCAGGGCGTGGCAGGCGCGGCACTTTCTCGACATCCGCATGGGGGTGCGCAGAGGGTGGTCCCTCAGAACGGCCTCTATCCGTGATACGCTCGCAGGGGTGTGGCAGGAGTTGGGGGCGCTCTCTCTTTCAGGCTTCCAGGGCGTGTCAGGCGTAACAGTTCCTCGACGCCAGAGGGCGGCGCATGGGGTGGGGAGCTCCACAGATCGACATATGGGACACATGTCTTTGACCCTCGAGCATCCTGATATGTAACACATTGGCCCAAGCCGGCTCAGCTCAGCCGCAGGGGGTGGTCTCTCAGCTCGGCCGCTATCCACGACACTGGCGCAAAGCCTAGCAGGCGTGGCACTTTCTCGACACCACAGGGGGTGCGCAGGGGGTGGTCTCTCACTCGGCCGCTATCCACGACACTGTCGCAAAGCCTAGTAGGCGTGGCACTTTCTCGACACCACAGGGGGTGCGCAGGGGGTGGTCTCTCACCTCGGCCGCCATCCACGACACTGGCGCAAAGCCTAGCAGGCGTGGCACTTTCTCGACACCACAGGGGGTGCGCAGGGGGTGGTCTCTCAGCTCGGCCGCTATCCACGACACTGGCGCAAAGCCTAGCAGGCGTGGCACTTTCTCGACACCACAGGGGGTGCGCAGGGGGTGGTCTCTCAGCTCGGCCGCTATCCACGACACTGGCGCAAAGCAGCAGCGTGGCACTTTCTCGACACCACAGGGGGTGCGCAGGGGGTGGTCTCTCAGCTCGGCCGCTATCCACGACACTGGCGCAAAGGCTAGCAGGCGTGGCACTTCCTCGACACCACAGGGGGTGCGCAGGGGGTGGTCTCTCAGCTCGGCCGCTATCCACGACACTGGCGCAAAGCCTAGCAGGGAACATTCGCGACGAGGGCCCAGAACGCAGGATTGTGCATATATATATATATATATATATGTACATAAGCAAACACAAAACATTTAAATTAAGTATGTGGGGCTCCTCGGTAGCGTAATTGCTTGGTTTTGCTTTTGCTTTGCCTTCGCACACACACACAAACACACGCATGGTTTTGCCTATGCTCTGCTAATGCTGCGCTGCGCTAAGCTAAGCTGAGCTAAGCTAAGCTAGGCAATGCTAATCTACGCTAAGCTAAGCTAAGCTAAGCTAGGCTAGGCTAAACTAAGCTAAGATGAGATAAGCAACGCTAAGGCAAGGGGACGTAACTGGGGGAACCGCGGGGCGGATACTGGGGGAACCGCCAGGGCCGGTTCCCACTGCCCGGCCCTTTAAGCCAAGAGAGTAAGAACCCTTCTAGGCAGAGCCTAAATAGGGAAATACTCCAAAAATAATCAAAAAAAAAAAAAAAAGATGGGGTCTATTTGTCCCTACCTAGGCTCTGCCTAGAAGGGTTCTTACTCTCTTTGCTTAAAAGGGCCGGGCAATGTTAAACGCCCTGGGCGGTTCCCCCAGTTGCGCCCCCTGGGTTCACCCAGCTTAGCTTAGCTTTAGCTTAGTTAGCTTAGCTTAGCTTTTAGCTTAGCTTTAGCTTAGCGTTAGCTTAGCTTTAGCTTAGCTTCAGCTTAGCTTCAACTTAGCTTTAGCTTAGCTTCAGCTTAGCTGCAGCTTAGCTCTAGCTTAGCTGCAGCTTAGCTAGCTTAGCTTAGCTTCAGCTTAAGCTTAAGCTTTCAGCTTCTAGCTTAGCTAGCTTAGCTTTAGCTTAGCTAGCTAGCTTAGCTTCAGCTTAGCTTTAGCTTAGCTTTAGCTTAGCTCTAGCTTAGCGTTGGCTTAGCTTCAGCTTAGCTCTCTAGCTTAGCTTTAGCTTTAGCTTAGCTCTAGCTTAGCTTTTAGCTTAGCTTTAGCTTAGCTTTAGCTTAGCTTTAGCTTAGCTTTAGCTTAGCTCTAGCTTAGCTTTAGCTTAGCTTCAGCTTAGCTTAGCTTAGCTCTAGCTTAGCGTCAGCTTAGCTTCAGCTTAGCTTTAGCTTAGCTTCAGCTTAGCTTTAGCTTAGCTCTAGCTTAGCTTTAGCTTAGCTCTAGCTTAGCGTTAGCTTAGCTTTACCTTAGCTTTAGCTTAAGCTTGGCTTTATCTTAGCTTTAGCTTAGCTGTAGCTTAGCTTTAGCTTAGCTTTAACTTAGCTTTAGTTTAGCTTTAGCTTTTAGCTTAGCTTTAGCTTTATCTTAGCTGTAGCTTAGCTTAGCTTTATCTTAGCTTTATCTTAGCTTTAGCTTAGCTTTAGCTTAGCTTTAGTTTAGCTTTAGCTTAGCTTTACCTTAGCTTTAGCTTAGCTTTAGCTTTTAGCTTAGTTTTAGCTTAGCTTTAGCTTGGCTTTATCTTAGCTTTAGCTTTGCTGTAGCTTAGCTTCAGCTTAGCTTTAGCTTAGCTTTAGCTTGGTGTTAGCTTAGCCTTAGCTGAGCTTTAGCTTAGCTTTTAGCTTAGCTTTAGTTTAGTTTTAGCTTAGTTTTTAGCTTAGCTCCAGCTTAGCTTTAGCTTAACCTTAGCTTAGCTTCAGCTTAGTGTTAGCTTAGCTTCAGCTTAGCTGTAGCTTAGCTTTAGCTTAGCTTTAGCTTAGCTTTACTGTTACTACTAATGCTGATTTCCTAGGGGCTCCAACTCCTAGGTAGGGTCGCTCTGGGATAACTTGATTATCTTTGACCTTTTTGGGGTATGTTTGGGGTGTCTTTTATTTGTCGTCGAAAATCCTCCTGTAGGGGGACACGCCCGACATAAGCCTTGGCGCCACGCGCACTCGTCTCAAAAGTTTTGCAACAGCTTCGCGGGCTCGTAGACTTCAAAAACCCGGCAAGCGAATCCTGGCACCATTGAGGACTGTCAGGACGCAGCGTTCACACTGACTCGCTGCGTTGAAGTCCAAGGAACTGTTTTTTTTTTGGCACGGCTGAAGACTCTCAGCCGGGTACTTCCCGCAACGAACCCAGGTCGTTTGCACGGCGCTGGGGCCCAGCGAGGGCCCCTGGAGACCGAACAGCCGCACGCCACGTGACACCCACGTGACACACACAACACACACACAACACGCACAACACACACACAACACACAACACACACAACACACACAACACACAACACACAACACACACAACACACAACACACACACAACACACACAACACACAACACACACAACACACACAACATACAACACACAACACACAACACACAACACGCCACACCACACCACCACACCACCACACCACGCCACGCCACGCCACGCCACGCCACACCACGCCACGCCACGCCACACCACGCCACGCCACGCCACGCCACGCCACGCCACAGCACAGCACAACACAGCACAGCACAGCACAGCACAGCACACACACACACACACACCACACACTCACACACCACAACCACACACAAACACGCACACGTACACACACAAACACACACACATGCACACGCGCACACTTTTTGCGTCGGCGGCTGGGCAGAGGGACTGCTCCGGCGATGTGGAATTAGTGGGTCACACAAAACGTAAATTAAGCCGCAGGGCACGCGGGAGGAGAGAGGAGGCCCAGCGCGGGCGGGAGGGAAAAACATACACACACACGCACACGCACACGCACACGCACACGCACACGCACACGCACACGCACACACACACACAAACGCACAAACACACACACAAACAAACAAACAAACAAACAAACAAACAAACAAACAAACAAACAGACAGACACACTGCACGCAGGGAGGAGAGGGATGCCACCTGGCGCGTGTTACTCATCATACATACACGCATGTACAACCACCTTAGGGGGTGCGCAGGGGGGGTCCCTGACTGCGGCCGCTATGCGGCCCTGTCGTCAAGGCCACAGCAGGCGTGGCATTTTTTCGACACCATAAGGGGGTGCGCAAGGGGTGGGCCTTGAGCGCGGCTGCTGTGCGCCCCCGTCGTCCAGGGCATAGCAGACGTGACAATTTCTGGACACAGTAGGGGGTGCGAAGGGGGTGTTCCCTGAGTGCGGCCGCTATGCGCTCCGGTCGTCCAGGCCGCAGCAGGCGTGCCAGTTTCTCGACACCATAAGGGGTGCGCAGGGGGTGGCCCCTGACCGCGGCCGCTATGCGCCCCGCCCCGGTCGTCCAGGCATAGCAGGTGTTGCACTTTCTCGACACCATAAGGGGTGCGCGAGGAGCTTTCCCTGAGCGCGGCCGCTATGCGCCCCAGTCGCCAAGGCCACAGCAGGCGTGGCACTTTCTCGAAACCATAAGGGGTGCGCTGGGGGTGGTCCCTGAGCGCGGCCGCCATGCGCCCCGGTCGCCCAGGCCCACTTACTCGACACCATAAAGGGTGCGCAGGGGGTGGTCCCTGAGCGCGGCCGCTATGCGCCCCAGGCATCCAAGCATAGCAGGCGTTGCACTTGCTCGACACCATAAGGGTGCGCGAGGAGCTGTCTGTGAGCGCGGCCGCTATGCGCCCCGGTCGTCCAGGCCACAGCAGGTGTGCCACTTCCTCGACACCGTAAGGGGTGCGACAGGGGGTGGTCCCTGACCACGGCCGCTATGCGCGTCGTCTGTCCAGGCCATAGCACACAAGGGCGTAGCGCGCGTGGCATTTTCCCGAAGTCGATGCGCAATACGACCAAAATTTTTGCGATCTGGCTCGTTGAACGCAGATCTATCCGGCAATGCTGAAACATCTGGTCCCCGCGTTTTGGACCGCGCGCGGCTTCGTGGTTGCCGCTAATGGTCGTGGCCAGATCGAGGCTGTCGTGTTCGTCGCACGGGAACACAATGTCCACGTGGAGATTGTCCAAAAGGCCCGCTGGTCTGTCCCTATAGTAGTGATGGTAGCCTCACCAGTGGTCTAAGTGTTAGCAGTGATGTTGGCCACATCTATCAGATATGAATGAAGTATGAGGGGCTCCTCGGTAGCATAATCTGTTGCACGACGCGATCACGTCTGGTCTGGGATTGCGAGAGAATCACGACATCGGAGCGCTGGGGACGACGACGACGACGACGCGCCGCTGGCCTGGCCGCAGCCGTCTTGGGGCCCTAGGGGGCCGTCTTCGGGCCCTGGGGGCCGTCTTGGGGCTCCCCATGGGGCCCCTTCGGGCCGTCTTGGAGCGTCGGAGACCCCGAGGCGAGAACGCTCACCCGCGTCGGACGGAAGAAGTGGGTAGAAAGATGGAACCCAAACATGATCGCGTCGTAAAAAAATCAGGACGAAGGTTTTTCGCTATTTTCGGCCCCTGGGGACCCTCGCCGGGCCCCAGGACCGTCAAAAAACGACTCAGGACGACAAGCCGGCCCCGGGGAAAGGGTCGGGACTTCCAGGGACACCGTCCTGAAAAAATCACGTGGTCGCATGTGTGGGATAGGAGAGCGTTGACGTAGATCGGGCTTCAGTCCGCTCCCTGAAGAGGGAAGAGGGACAACCGTTGGACTCTTGGAAGTAGGAAGGTGCCGAGTGTATATTGGAACCCAGGAATCCCCCAAAATACCTACTCTCAACGACCGACAGGGAAATCCTCCGACAAGAATAAGGGGAAATCTATGATCCCAGACCCCCGACGTCATGACTTGTTCCTGACGTCGACCCCCAGAGGCCTCGACCCATTCCCCAGGACCGGCTCCTCATCCCGAGTCGTTGCTTGACCCTCCCGAGGTCCGGCGGAGGCCCCTATAGAGGCAGCAGGCAGCGACGCACCTCCCGCCGGGATTTTCTTTCGTTGCTCGAGGGGGCCTGGGAGTTGGGCCCCTAGGGGCCCCCGTTGGGGGGCCCTGGCTGGCCTGGCCGCCGCCGCGCTCTCCTCCTCCTCCTCCTCCACCTCGCTCCTCCTCCTCCTCCTCCTCCTCCTCCTCCTCCTCCTCCTCCTCCTCCTCCTCCTCCTCCGCCGCCGCCGCCGCCGCCGCCGCCGCCGCCGCCGCGCCGCCGCCGCACCGCTCGCTGCACAGGGGCGCGCACTGGAGCTCGCCGCCGGCGGGGGAGCCCGCGAGGCGTGCCTCCGCCTCGGGCTCGTCCTGCGGCGGGCATGGGGTGGCCACGGCCTAGCCCTGCCGAGGGGCCTCCCAGGAGGCTCCTCCTCCACTCCTGCTCCTCCTCCTGCTCCTCCTCCTGCCCTTCCTCCTCCTGCTCCTCCTCCTCCTCCTCCTCCTCCACCACCTCCCCTCTGCACCTGCTGCTCCTGCTCCTGCTCCACTCCTCCTCCCTCTCCTCCTCACATCCACCTCCCTCCTCCTCCCTCCTCCTCCTCCTCCTCCTCTCTCCTCCTCCTCCTACCTCCTTCCTCCTCCCCCCCCCCTCCCACCTCCCCTCCTCCTCCTCCTCCCCTCCTCCTCCTCCTACTCCCTCCACCTCCTCCTCCTCCTCCTCCTCCTCCTCCACCTGCACCCCTCCACACCCCCTCCTCCTCCTCCTCCTCCTCCTCGTCCTCCTCCTCCTCCTCCTCACTCCGCCCTCCCGCCCACCTCCACCTCCTCCTCCTCCTCCTCCCTCCTCCTCCCTCTCCTCCTCCTCCTCCTCTCCTCCTCCTCCTCCTCCTCCTCCTTGTCCTCCACGTCCTCCTCGTCCTCCTCGCCTCCTCCTCCTCCTCCTCCTCCTCCTCCTACCTCCTCCTCCTTCCTCCTCCTCCTCCTCCTCCCCCTCCCCTAACCCTCCCCCTCCTCCTCCTCCACCTCCCTCCTCCTCCTCCTCCACCTCCTCCTCCTCTCCTCCTCCGCCTCCCCTCCTTCCTCTCCTCCTCCTCCTCCTCCTCCCTCCTCCTCCTCCTCCTCTCCTCCCACCCCTCCGCCTCTTCCTCCCCCTCCTCCTCCTTCTCCTCCTCCTCCTCCTCCTCCTCCTCCTCCTCCTCCTCCTCCTCCTTCTCTTCCTTCCTCGTCGTCGGCGTCGTGGTCGTTAACGTCGGTGCGTCGTGCGTCCACAGATTCTGCAATTTAGCCCTCGTCGCAAGGCAAATCTCTCAAGGGCACAGGCCGGCGGCAAGGCGGGCCGTCCCGCGCGCTCACACCTCCCCACTTCTCACGCGTCGCGCGGTTGGAAATGCCTCGGAGGCCCCGAGGAGCCTCGCGGAGCCCGTTTGGGGCCGTCTCGGGCCCCGAGCGAGGCCCCCGAAAAGTTATCCAGATGGCCACGGTGAACTGAATGTCTTTTCGTGGCGCTCTTGAGGGCCCCTCCTCGGGGCCCTTGGGGGGGCCTCTGGGAGCTCGCTCGGGGCTTCTCTTGGGCCCCGAGCGAGCTCCCAGAGGAATCCGCAAAGATATCCAGATGGCCTCTTGAGGACCTCTCGGGGTCCCTGAATCGTCAGCGTTGGGGGGATCTACGCCTATTGTCAGATCAGCGCCCCTGTCATCTCCGCGGAGTTGCGAACTTGGAGGCCAGGATGGGCTAGCGTCCCACGGGACAGCTGCCTCGGCCAGCGCAGTACGTCCTCGGATAGGCTGGCACACCCAAACATTGTCCTGTTAATGATGCCGAAGCTCGGGGTGGAAATGCGGGCGTTTGTTCCGCTTCGCCACGTTGTTCCGCTGCTGGTATGCCGGGTTGCGGGAGGTGAAGAGAAGATCTCACATGCAACCCATTATCAGCCATTTGTGCTATCTAAAAGTGGCGGAAGAGTCAACTGTCGGGGGGGTTCTATACCTTTTGTCAGATCAGCCACCACGTCAGCACCGCGGAGTTGCGAATTGGGGGGCCAGGCGTACCCCGTTGCGCATCTGTCGCTCGAGTACGCACGCGCTCTCAGAGTTCTGTCGCATGTGTGCCCCCACTCGTCTCACGCATGACTTTACTCAGCCTTCTGCAGAGTGTGAGGGCAAGAGATGAGAAAGTCACAGCGTCTCAATTGCAACCGCCTCCGGCAGGTGCCCTGAACCTCCAACTCCTCTGGCGCGCAAGCCAAGCACTGAGCCACGAACGTGCCACGCACTTCCGCGCCGCCCCGCTGCTCCGAGGATGGGCCGGGCACACCCAGGCACTGCCCTGTTCACGAGGCCGAAGCTCGGAGCGGAAAGGTGGGCGTTTGCCCCGCTTCGCCACGCTGCTCCGCTGCTGGCGCCCTCGCCAGCGGCGCCTTCGTGGGGAGGAGGAGGGGAAGGAAGAGGAGGAGGAGGAGGAGGAGGAGGAGGAGGAGGAGGAGGAGGAGGAGGAGGCCGGAGGCCGGCTGCACGGTGGAGCAGGTCCCGGCTGTCCCGAGGCCAGCGGCGACCTCGGCGGCGGGCTGTGGAGCAGCCCGGTTCACCCTCAGGGTGGTCAACCGTCCTGGCTGAGCGTTGCCCTTGCGCGTCAAGCCTGGGGCGGTGGCGCGCCTGCGGTGCAGCAGGCCCCCCCCGGGGCACTTTTCGGGTGGCGTCCCAGCCTGCGGCGGGGCAATGTCCCCTGCCCTGCTGTGGAGTTTATTTATTTTTTTATGTTGGTAATATTTTATATAATTTCCATTTGAAAATTTTGAAGTTATTTATTATATCTCATGACATTTTGAGACTTTTATTTTATTATGTCGTTATACCGATTCAACTGTCATAATGTGCCTTCCCCCCTTCACCAGCGGGAAGGCGCTCCTCCCCGCGGCAGGGCAGGCCCGTGTGTGCCCCCGAAGGGATGGAGCCGTCCCGCTTTCGACATGGTAGGGGAGCCAGCGTATAACGCGATTCTGGCGGCTGACAGCTCATCCTCTGCTCTGGCGGAGGGACATGCAACATGACTTCTCACCTGTACGGTACATGGCGACACGGGCCACCGAGGTGTCCCCTGTCTAACCTAAGATGCCGTACAAAGGTAGCCTGGGCTTACGCTGTCCACACATACCATCCACCTATACCCTGGTTGCACCCTACCGCACGTTCACGCACGCGCATTCAGCGCTGCGTAGTCTGAGTGCCCCCCCACTCATTTCCTTGACATCCTCACTCCGCCGCCTCATCCAAACCAGCAGGAGGTGATGATGACGTAGCCTCTCAAACACAGCCGCCTATGGCGTGTGCAGATACGCTCCAACGCCTCTGGCTCACAAGCTGAGGGAGGATTACCGTATATCACAACTGAGGTGGCTGACTAGTGGTATGTTGACACTCGTACCACGTGCCTGCAACGGTCCTACCGTTCCAAGGGTGGGTGACCCCTTGTGCACCATCCGACTTTACAGGGTTATGCCTACCCTCAAGGCATCAGCGCTACATCCTCCTCTTCCTCCTCCTCCTCCTCCTCCTCCTCCTCCTACCCCTCTCCCTCCCCCTCCTCCTCCTCCTCCTCCTCCTCCCTCCTCCTCCCTCCTCCTCCTCCTCCTCCTCCTCCTCCTCCTCCTCCCTCCTCCTCCATTCTCCTATTCCTCCCTTTTTGGGGTCTCGTTCTGATTGCAGTCGGACCTAGGACAGAAGGACATCGTCCAAGAACACGAGGCCCTCCGTCGGCCCAAACACACATAGAACATCCAAGGGTACCCCGCCCAGGGATGCGCAAGAATATCCAGCAAGCACGGCGAACACGAGGGCACCCTCCCCGAACCGACCTCGATCTTATACCCAGGTCTGGCTGCACGGAGGGACAATCCCGGGGGGATCAACCTCAAGCTGTGGGCCAGCGGTGCATCGCCGACGAGTCGGCGACAAGACCTCGGTGGAGAAGCCGCGCGCTCCGGGGCGGGGCGAGCGATCGTGCCTCTATCGGCGGTGAGTCTGGCGTTCGGGAGTCGACGCGTTCCCCTCTTGAGCCTACCCCCCCCTCATGATCCTCCTCCTCCTCCTCCTCCTCCTCCTCCTCCTACCCCTTTCCCTCCCCCTCCTCCTCGGCCCTCCTCCTCCGCCTCCTCCTCCTCCTCCGCCTCCGCCTCCTCCTCCCCCTCCTCCTCCTCCTCCTCCTCCTCCTCCTCGTCCTCCTCCTCCTCGTCCTCCTCCTCGTCCTCCTCCTCCTCCTCCTCCTCCTCCTCCTCGGCCCTCCTCCTCCTCCTCCTCCTCCTCCTCGCCGTCGCCCTGCTCTCGGGTCACAACTCGCATCTCCGGCGGCCGCGCTGGACGATCCGGGCCCCCCCCCCGGACGCCCCTCGGCGATGCGCAGCCGCTGGAGAGCACCCCCGAGGCTGGAACACCGCAGCGAACCAGCGAAGACGTCGAGGAGGAGGAGGAGGAGGAGGAGGGCCGAGGAGGAGGAGGAGGAGGAGGAGGAGGAGGAGGAGGAGGAGGAGGAGGAGGAGGAGGAGAGGAGGGCCGAGAGAGGAGGAGGGCCGAGAGGAGGAGGAGAGGAGGAGGGCCGAAGGAGGAGGAGGAGGAGGAAGGAGAGAGGAGCGAGGAGGAGGAGAGGGAGAGGCGGAGAGAGAGGGCGGAGGCGGAGGAGGAGCCCCCCCCCCCCCGAGCCCCGCAGAGCTCGAACCTCGAAGGCCCTGGGCCCGTCCCCGCGCCTCGCTGCCCCTGACCCGCCAGAAGCAGGCGACCCGCGCCGGGAAGCGCGAAAGGTATGGCAAAATCGTCACCCCAGGCATGACCCGGGAGGGCACCCTGATGTTTTTCGTGCTCAGTTGGCTGTTCTCGTGCATGCTGGTGCTCTGGCTATAGCGGCGGGCCTCGCGCTCTTCCAGGCTGTCCTTCTGGTCTCGGTCCGACTGTAGCGTGCTGCTGTTATGTCGGGCGTGTCCCCCGACAGGGGGATTTTCGACGAAGAGTGAAAAATACTCCCCAAACGAAAGATGGCGACGGTTTTTCGATGTTTTCGGCACCTGGGGGCCCTCGCTGGGCCCCAACGCCGTCAAACGACGACTCGGGAGGAAGAACCGGCCCCGGGGAAAGGGTCGGGACTTCGGGGGACGCCGTCCTGAGAAAACTAGGACGTCGCATGTCCGGGTATGGCGAAGTCGCCACCGTGAAGGCGAAGCTGGCCAAGACCATCGTGCAGGCCTTCCCCGCGGAGGCCCTCCAGGACGAGTTCCGAGGTCGGCTACTCTAAGTCGGGCCCCCCCCACAGTTGGATTTTCGACGAAAAATAACAGATACCCCAAAAGTACCCCAAAGCCGCCCAAAAATACCCCAAAAATAATCCCCAGACTATTTTTTGACTATTTTTGACTATTCCCCCTGTAGAGGGACAGGCCCGACTTACGGCTACTCGCAAGAGTGACCCTGGGTAAGGGGTGACCTTTGGTGCGCGGCTGTTTGGTGGCCGCGGAGCGACCAAACCCAAGCGCGCAACACGCTACTATCGCATCGCGTTCGACGGTCGGGGCACCCCGATGGGCCCGCATCATGATTTTCTCACAACGTCGACCCCCAGAGGCCTCGACCCATTCCCCGGGACCGGCTTCTCCTCCTGAAGCGCTTTTTGGCGGCCCCGAGGCCCGGCGAGGGCCCCCAGAGGCCGAAAATGGTGAACCCCCCCCCCGTCTGGATACTCCAGATTTCGTAATAAAAGGGAGGGGCTCTGGACCCTCCAAGACAAGCCATTTCGGACCCCCCCCCATGGGAGAACCCTCCAAAACATCGTCCCCAGACCCCCCAGGCCCTCCAAGATGGCCTGGAAGAGACCCCCCCCCGAAATGAGACCCCCCTCCCTTTATTACGAAATCTGGAGGAGGAGGAGGAGGAGGAGGAGGAGGAGGAGGAGGAGGAGGAGGGGGAGGAGGAGGAGGAGGAGGAGGAGGAGGAGGAGGAGGAGGAGGAGGAGGAGGACTTCGCCCCCCCTTGCGCGTGGCGGAGTCCTGGTCGCCCGGCGTCGCCGCCAGCGCTGGGCTCGGGGCCTTCGCCGTCCGCGGCGAGGGCGCCTCCGCCTCTCCACTCGGGGGAGCGTGCGGAGGCCGCGGGGGGGCGGGGGAGCGGGCGCGGGAGCCGCGGGGAGGCACGGAGGCAGTCGTCGTCATCAACCGCATCCTCCTCAGCATCAGCATCAGCATCAGCACCAGCATCAGCATCAGCAGCAGCATCAGCATCAGCAGCAGCAGCAGCATCAGCATCAGCATCATCAGAAGCAGCAGCATCATCACCATCATCATCACCATCACCATCACCATCACCATCACCATCACCATCATCATCATCATCATCATCATCATCATCATCATCATCAGCAGCATCAACATCATCATCATCATCATCATCATCATCATCATCATCATGATCATCACCATCATCATCAGCAACATCATCATCATCATCATCATCATCATCATCATCCTCATCCTCATCCTCATCCTCATCCTCATCCTCATCCTCATCCTCATCCTCATCCTCTCCGTTTCTCAACTATTCTCTTCAATCCTCCTCCTCCGGCGACGACGGCTGCCCTCCGCCAGCCTTCGTCCGAAGCACGCGGCGATCTTTACGCATCGTCTCCTTGAGACCGGGGGTGATGGTGGCGATTGCGACTGCCTCAAGCTTCTCTGGATCATAATGATCGTGGAGCGGGAAGAACCTCCTGTGGCTGTCGGTGTGTTGTCTCGCGCATGTCGATCACCTGGCAGTTGGGGATAAGAGTGAGGAGGCGGCGGGGTCGTCGGCAGTTTGCGAAGCTATGAAAAAACGCCGCAAGCGCTTTGCCCACATGACACAACGAGCCCGCCACAGGCGCCGAATTTCCGTCAAAGCAGTGTGGATGGGTCGCAAGTGGGTAGCGGGTGGGTCGCGGGCGGGTCGCAGGGTGGGTCGCGGGGTGTGTCGCTGGGTGGGTCGCGGGCGGGTCGCGGGCGAGGGCGACGACGGCAAACACATTTTTTTGTTGGTCTGCGGGGCGAGAGCGAACCTCTTCCGGTAAAAGCTAGGCGGGCCACGCGCAGACGACAGCAAACACAACGAAGCAGAATCCGCGCGGCGGAATCCCACAACAGCGGCGCACCCGAAGACAGTGTACGACCATTCGCCCCCCCTCACCCCGATTAAAACAGGGCCAGGATCGGGATACATCGCTCCAGAGCGTTCCAGAGCGCTCTCAGAGCGTTCCGGAACGCTCTGGAGCGGCCGCGGCGCCCAATACATCCTCCAAACCCGCCGATTCTCAGAGATTTCGAGTTATCCCGATCCGATTTTGTCCCGATCTTCGCGTCGTGTGAGTGTCGGCAGGGCGGGCTGGGCGTTCCGCCCGAGGCGTCCGCCCCACGGAGGCTCCCGAGGCCTGACGTCTGCCGCAGCCTCCAGGCCGGAGGGCGAGACGCTCTCAAAGCGGAGCTGTCGCCTCCTCCTCCTCCTCCTCCTCCTCCTCCTCCGCCTCCGCCTCCGCCTCGCACGTCCTCCTCCGCCTCCGCCTCGCACGTCCGTCCGCAACCGCCTCGGGGAGGGGCGCCGGGCCGTTCTCGACACGGGGCGCTCGCCTCCGCGCCGCGGAGCCTCGTCTTCGGCAACAGCCCCGGCAGCTTGAGGCAGGGAGGGGTGGCCGTTTGCAAGAGGGCTCTGCAAGGCGGCGCCCTCGTTTGGAACTACGAACGTATACACACACCTCCTCGTCCTCCTCCCCCTCCTCCTCCCCCTCCTCCTCCCCCTCCTCCTCCTCCTCCTCCTGCTGCTGTTCCTCTGGAAACGTTGACACGTTCAACACCTGCACGGAGGCAGGGCGGGCCGATCTCGAACGACGATCACGCCGGATCCCTCGTCGAGCTGCACTGTCATACCTTTGCGCAGTCTCCTCCCTTTCTCCTCCTTCCCCTTCTCCTTGCCCCCTCCTCCCCTCCTCCTCCCTCCTCCTCCTCCTCCCCCTCCTCCTCCCCCCTCCTCCTCCTCCTCCTCCTCCTCCTCCTCCTCCTCCTCCTCCTCCTCCTCCTCCCCCTCCTCCCCCTCCCCCCCCACTACGCGCTGGGAGGGTGCAGGGCAGTGGACTCACTCTCACAGAAAGGGGCTGCCGCCCGAATGGCAAGGGCACGGGGCGCCGGCTCCTCACGGGGGACCTCTTGAAGCGGAAAGGCAGTCACCCAGGGACGTACAGGGCAGTTTTTGAGACATAGGATCTTTAAACATAGGATCTTTAAACATATGGTTTTTTTGCTACATGATTTTGTGACACAGGATCTTTAAACATTTTTTTTTAACATATGGTGCATGAGCTCATCGTTGTTTTTAATGCTGAATCCCTGCATGTTTAATACATGATCCGCACGCGGAGCATGTATTCAAACCGGCACTGTATGTGGATGGGGACCTGGGACGGGAGGGTGCGTTGCAGCATCACTGATGCATCTTGGACTTAGCCTGATTCTCCCTTCTCCTCCTCCTCCTCCTCCTTCTCCCCCTCCTCCTTCTCCCCCTCCTCCTCTTCCTCCTCCCCCTCCTCCTCCTCCTCCTCCTCCCATTCCTTCTCATCCCTCCTCCCCCTTCTCCTTCCCCCTTTCTCCTCCTCCTCTTCCTCCCCCGCCTGCTCCTCCATGCCTTTTCCTGATGAATAACTCCCTCCTGTCGCACCCCGAGACGTGTCCGTAGGGCGGGCCCGGCGTTTCGCCTGAGACTTCCTCGCCATTCATGTTCCTCATGCTTAAAACTGTGCAAGAGCTTCACGGATGGAAGGCGGTTTTCAGAATGTGACTGTTCCTTCAGCGCCGCGCACATTCGCTTCAAATACTTGCAGGAGCTCCACATGGAGGGCAGCTCCTTTTCAAAACGTGGTTCCTGCCGTAACGCCGAGCGCATTCGTTTTGAACGTTTGCCGACAATGAACGGATGGACGGCGCTGTTTGCTCCCAAGTGTGGCTCTCGCCTGAGCTCCGCGCACAATCGCCTCAAAAGTTTGCCAGAGATTCACGGATGGAGGCGGGTAGCTTTCACACTGTGGCTCTCGCCCTAGCGCCGCGAGCATTCGCCTGAAAAGCGTGCAAGAGCTTCACGGATGGAGGGCGCCTGCTTCAAGATGTGGCTCCAGCTTGAGCACCGCGCGCATTACGTCTGCAAGCCTGCAGAACACATGCCGGATAGAGGGCGGCTGATCTTCAAAGTGTGGCTCTCGCCTCAGCGCCGCGCGCATCCGCCTCAACAGTTTGAAGGAACTTCACGGACCGAGGGCGGCTCCTCTTCAAACATGTGGCCCTTGCACTGGCCCCGCGCGCAGCTGTGCTACAACGCAACTGCAGCTTCAAATATTCTCATGGTTGACGTCCCAGGAATCGCGTTCTGGCAAGACTCAGCACTGCAGGACGTCACAGTCACGTTCACTCGCGGTGCTGAAGGTCCAAGAACGGCCTTCTGGTGCGATCCAGGATCGTCGGGCATCGTTGATTCGCGTCGTTCAGTCACAGGAGTGGTGTGTTGGCACGACTGAGGATTCTTCGACTGCTGTCTTCCAACGGGGCATTTCCCACCGTGAGCACAAATCATTCAAGGGACCTCTGAAGAGGAAAAATGGAGGGAGGGAGTCCTGAGGGTGTCCTGCAACATCGTTGGTGCGTCCGGCTTTGGACCTCTCCTCCTCCCCGCTTCCCTCCTCTCCTCGCCTGGGCGAGGAGGAGAAAGGAGGAGGACCGGGCGGAGGACGGAGGAGGAGGAGGAGGAGGAAGCAGGAGAAGGGAGCAGGAGGAGGGCCCAAGCGTCGCGGCGCGAGAAGGGATCCTCCTTGCGACGAAATGCCTGCCCCCCCCCCCCCGATCGCCAGGGCCCTCCAACCCTGCCGGGCAAAGGGGCCAGCGGTAGGCAGTGCCGCCTTCCTCCTCCTCCTCCTCCTCCTCCTCCTCCTCCTCCGCCATTAATGACTGCCTGAAGCTACATAACTGCTGCTGCGAGGCTGCCAGAAGCAGTTGCCCTGCTCTTCCTCCTCCGCCTCCTCGTCCTCCTCTTCCCCCTCCTCCTCCTCCTCCTCCTCATCCTCCTCCTCCTTCTCCTCCTCCTCCTCCTCCCCCTCCTCCTCCTCCTCCTCCTCCTCCTCCTCCTCCTTCTCGTGGAGGAGGAGGAGGAGGAGGAGGAGGAGGAGGAGGAGGAGGAGGAGGAGGAGGAGGAGGAAGACGAGGATAACGAGGAGGAACGAGGAGGAGGAGGAGGATGAGGAGGAGGAGGAGGAGGAGGAGGAATGAGGAGGAATGAGGAGGAACGAGGAGGAACGAGGAGGAGGAGGAGTGAGGAGGAGAGGAGGAGAGGAGGTAAGGAGGAGGAGGAGGAGAGGAGAGAAGAATAGGGAGAGAAGGAGGACGAGGAGTAGGAGGAGGAGGACGAGGAGAAGGAAGAGGAGGAGGAGGGAGGAGGAGGAGGAGGAGAGGAGGAGGAGGACGACGATGAGTAAGGAGGAGGAGGAGGAAGGAGTAGGAGAGGAGGAGGAGAGGAAGAAGAGGAGGAGGAGAGGAGGAGGAGGACGAGGACGAGGAGAGGGGGAGGAGGAGGAGAAGGGAGGAGGGAGGGAGGGAGGAGGAGGAGGCCCAGGCATCGCGGCGCGAGAAGGGATCGACAGCACCAGGGCGGAGCCGTGCCTGCTGCTCGTCCAGGCCCTCCGCCTCGCGGGCGGCCAGGCCGCGGCTGCGGGCGGCCGCCTCGAGGGCGTCCAGCCAGGCGCTCGCCTCGGCCGCGGAGGGCGCCCTCAGCCTGGGGAGCTGATGCAGATGGTGATGATGGTGATGTTGATGTTGATGTTGATGTGATGTTGTTGTTGATGATGATGATGATGATGATGATGATGATGATGATGATGATGATGATGATGATGATGATGATGATGATGATGATGATGATGCTGATGATGCTGATGATGATGATGATGATGATGCTGATGATGATGATGATGATGATGATGACTAGGAGGAGGAGGAGGAGGAGGAGGAGGAGGAGGAGGAGGAGAAGGAGGAGGCAGAGGAGGAGGACAAGTCTGATGATGCTGAGGATGATGCTGATGATGCTGATGATGATATTGAGGGAGGCGGAGGAGGAGGAATCTGAGCATGCGGATGAGGATGCGGATGAGGAGGAGGGAGGAGACGGATGAGGAGGAGGAGGACGAGGAGGAAGGAGGGAGGGAGGGAGGAGGAGGAGGGGGGGAGGGGGAGGATGAAGCGGAGGAGAAGGCGAGAGAGGAGGAGGAGGAGTAGGAGGAGGAGGAGAAGGAGGAGGAGGAGGAGGAGGAGGAGGAGGAGGAGGAGCAGGAGGACGAGGAGGACGAGGAGGAGGACGACGACGAGGGCGATGAAGATGTTGCTGCTGCTGCTGCGGCTGCTGCTGCTACTGATGATGATGATGCTGCTGATGATGATGATGATGATGATGATGAGGAAGAGGAGGAGGAGGATGAGAAGGAGGAGAAGGAGGAGGAGGAGGAGGAGGAAGACGAGGAGGCGGAGGAGGAGGAAGAGGGAGGGAGGGAGGGAGGAGGAAGACAGATGCGCGCTCTAGCATTATAGTTCGGGGCGCTGCTAAACTCTTGAACAGGGGGAACTTCCAAAAAGGTTCCAAAAAGGCTCCCTTTAATAAAATCCTAGTGTGCGTTGAGCGACAAGAAGAGCTTCAAAAAGGCTTCAAAAAGGCATGTCTGAAAATCGTAGGACACCTTTTTAAAAAGCCCCAAGACACAATATCGCAGGGCGTGTGTATCTTTTGTTTAAGGCAGAGGAAATGAAGTAGGGAGTGGTGATGGACGATGAGAGGGAAGGGGGAGGGGAGTGGAGGCAGCTCGAACACGGAGGTAGCTACGAGGCAGCTGATGGCGTTTCCCACGGGGCAAACACCATGAGGCATTTGCTTGACTGTAACGATGTAGCTACGAGGCTGCTTCCTGACTGCAGCGATGTAGCAATTATGGTTATGGCATAATTGCTACATCGCTGTACTCGCTTCCCTCCTCCTCCCCCTCATCGCGGCATCAGGGTAAATACCAGTAGTGTTGCGAAAGTGCTGCACGAGAGCTGCGAGAGACAGCCTCTGCCGTTTCTGTTCAGTGCTCACCGCACCATAGTGTATGTTGTCATTTAAACATAGTTTGTGTACGAATGATGTGATCTTGTTTTCTTCGTGGAGAGATGCCGCGAGGGAAGAGCGGCGAACAATTGGCGGCCATGCAGGAGGCCGCGAGGCAGGCAAACAAAAAAGAAAGCTAGAGTATGAACAACTTGCTACCTTGTCTCGTCGGCCAGAGCCCGTGCTTGTTTCAAAGAATTCAATGGACGAGGCCTTTGAGCCTAAATCGTGTCTTCTCTCTCGCCCAATATGGGACTCAGTTGCTCTGGCCCTTCAGCAAGCTCAAGTATCGAATGTTGTCCCTTGTGCGTTGTCTAAATATTTTTTAACTGGCGACGCGATTGCGTCGAGGACGACCCTTTCTGATAAATCAGCACAGTATGACATGAGCGTTGACAGCTACAGACAACACACTTCTAGATTGGGTGCTCTGGCTTGGACTCTAGACCGACTGGTAAGAAAATCGATCATGGGTGCAATTGGAAGGAGTTCGAGCTCAGCCGATATCAAGATTCAGCAGGTGATTGACTGCCAATCTTACGACGAGACGCCGATGGGTTTGAGAGTCGCTGAGAAAAGCCAGGTCGATTTAGACTCCAAGGCGCTCTCGCTTCCTCAAAAGTACGTCTTGGCAATCCGCGCAAGCGACCAGCAGAAGAAAATGCAGCCAACTGACGTTTGCAAAGTGTTCCAACCTCTATCTGAATATTGATGTTTTGCGACGATGACGCCTGCAGAGGGGAGCGTTCGGAAGGTCATGATCATAGGCAGAGTGTCCAACAACATCCAGTGCATCAGAACTACAAGTGCAACATGCATTGCCGATGCACTTCGGGAGTCGGACAGCGCGAGCCTCGGCGAGTCCAGTGCTTTATCTTGTACTCGGCTCGTGCACGTGGACAGGCACAGGTCGAACCTGGCGGCGGAGAGAATGTTGATACCTCAGCGGCCTGGCCAATGGAACATGCTTGCTCTATTTTGCGAGGTGCACATGGCGGCCAGCATTCACAAGGCGACCTTGCAGCCGTTGGAGGCCGCAGTGAAAGGGGTCCTCAATCTAGCACTTGCGCTTCGAGGTGCAGGCCAGATGTCAGAATTCAAGCAGTGTCTCGCAGAGATCCTCGAGGCCCGCATGGAGCTGCGGGCGGGGCACGCCAGTGCCGAGGCGGAACTTTACGTCAGGATCGCTCTTCGTTGCTTCGTGCCAGGATCGGGCAATTCATCTCAGAGGCGGCTCATATTGTACACCATGCCAGCTGGGGAATGGAGAGGAGACCGAATCGTGTGCTATGTGGACTCTGCAGATGCTGCCGCTGATGTGCAAAACAAGAAGCTCATCGCCGACGCCTTGATGCAGATGCTCTGCAGCAGGAGGTTCAAGATCTGGCGGCGGGACAAATGGACGGGCTGCGAGGAGGCCATATGCCAGCAGGGCATTGTCGCATCGTGCGGGAACGTTTTGGGGCCCGCCTTCGAGCTGTGGTGCCAGCGATGCACTGCGAAATCCAGGGCTGCAAGACGACGAGACGACGATGATGGAGCAGGAGATCTACGCGGCGATGGTGAGAGGCAAGCTGGTGCCGATGGCGCCTGTGCAGCGCTGGTCGAGCATGATGAGGACCAGGATAAGCAAGCAGCGGGCGAGAAATGCACAAATGATTATTCGAAAGAGAACGCAAAGAATCGGCAGGCAGCATTGGATTGGTTGACCAACGATGCGATGACACCACTTTCGTGTTTAGTGTTGCTTCGAAATCTTCTTGGGCCATTGCAGTCGTTAATTCGTGCTCAGATGTACACCGCGTCTCATGCGTGGGAGGCTCGTCAGCGGGCTGCTTCGATCAGAGCCTCGCGTCTTCCCCGAGAGAGCCCGGATGGCGCTGCTCCCGTTGGGCGAGATTTCAGGATACTTGTGGCCGCGAGGGGCGACCTCGAGAATGCAGCAGTATTGAAAATGCAGGCGCTCATGTCCAGCAGTGTGCTTTGGATCTTTCTTGATGTTGATCAAGTCAACAATCACGTTCGCAGCGTTGCATTTCGATCAATATCCAGAGCACTTGCAAATATCGATCGCTTGTTGGCTCGTCCACACACTGGCTACCCATGGAGGTTGTTTTTGCTCATCGGCAACCGCGGGCTGGCGAGTGAGATCTCCAGTACACCGCCCTGCGTCATGGATGAGTTCTCGGCAAACTTCGTTCAGAACAACGACCTCACTACAGATGGTGGTATCTCGCTCGCTGTTGATCGCCTTATCCTTCACGCTCTTCTGGCATATACAGATATCACTCGGGTGGAGGTTGGGCATAGCCACTACCGCAGGCTAATCTACAACAGAGTTCAGACCACGCAGATCGACTTGAATGACTTATCGGCACTCTGGATGAGTAAAGTCTTTAAGGAAGCCAATGTGGTTCTGGACCAAGCGGGCGCAGCTGCTGCCGACGATCTTCCAGGAATGCGAGCGGACGGAGACGTGACGGAGCGAACCCATTCTGGCGGCCCGTGGAGGCTCTTCATACGCAGAGAGAAGTTGTCCGATTTCCGCGCCGCTGGCGAACGGTACAGAGCGCTGAGCCCTGAAGAGAAAGCGGAGTTGGTAGAGGAGGGGCGGCGTGCTACTCAGCGGGCCCGCGAAGGCATTCCGAGCAGAGAGACGGCCTTCGGACCTCGGTCGAGGGATGTGGCCAAAGTTGTGCGGGACCGCAACTTCGAAAGCCGCCTGGCTCTACTTCGGGGCCTCGACGCGGATACCACGGCAGACAGACTTATGCAGGATGCCGTTGCTTCTGGGCAAGGCCCCGACGCCTTGTCCGTGCTGTCGCGGCGGCTTGACCGAGAGCGGCATCGACGTGACCGAGATGAGGAGAAGGCGAACCTACGACAGATTGCAGAGTACGGCGTGGAAGCAACGCCGACCGCATTGAAGGAGATCTTGGAATGCCAGCCGTGCCTCGCGTCTTCCTCCGAGGCGCTCGTCGCGACGCAGTGCGTGCAAGGTGTGCCAGTTTTGGAGGTGTCGGCCGCGCGCGTGGCCACCTACGCTGGCACGGTGCACGATTGGGCCAAAGAGCAGCCCAACAGCCGATGCAATCTGTTGACGTCCCTCGACAAGGTGTGGCAGCATCAAAACTTTCTTCTCCGCGGCGACCCTCGGCCTGCAGTGGGCGATGACGATGTGGACGACCAGATGCTAGAAGTGTCCAAGTGTTACAAATACGGTGTTTGCTTGTGCGATTTCAGAGGGCGTTTGCTATGGAATGTCAGGAACAAGCTGTACCGCATTCTCAAGGAGACCTTCCCTGCCAAATCAACGGATAGGGTTGAACTTACTGATGGCTTCATCTTCATGCGTCTTGTTGGGACCCCCGTGGGCTCCGAGGCCGACGTGGACTTGTGGGGGCAAGAGGAGCGATGGTACCATGTCAGTTTTCTGTTGCTCAGCCCGTACGTCCCAGAGTTCCAGCTGATGGAGTGAGTCGAGGACGAGGATCAGCAGGCAGCTTCAGGTGTTGGTCTGGATGGGCTTGCTTTGAAAGTCGGCATCTTAGCCCTCCCTCCTCCCAACTTCATCGCATACATGGTCCTCCTGATTCCCCTCCCCCTCAACGTCCCCGTCCTCCCGCACCTCATGCCCC